GTATAGATGGTTGAAATTGATTGGCGGGTATATTTGGTAAGTTCGACTGCTGAACTTCTGATTGGTAACTGGTTTTTTATTGGTTGGAATCTAAGGTTATTTGAGGATTCTGATTGGTAGTTGTTTTGTTTATTGGATCGTTTTGAAATTCTTCTTCTTCTTCAAGGAGCAAAATGCTTTTTTCAGTGTTTGGAGTTTGTGATGTAGATGGTAGCTGGTTGGTTTTTCCTAGTTGATATGTTGTTATAAGAGTAAATGTTTTCTTCTTCTTCAAGTTTTTGCTGATTTGGATCATATTCCATGGGATATGCATGGAGTAGTTCCATCCTTTGGCTAGAACTGCTTGAAGAACTTCATTTTTAAGCTGGCCATTTCTTGCAAAAATCTCTTGAAGAGAGTTATGAAAGTCTAGAAATTCGTCAAGCTATTGAAGAGATTTGTCCACAAGAATTGAGACTTGTATCACGAGGTTGCTTGGGTTTTCTGCAACTGAGAATTCAATCTGAAAAATTGAGAGGCTTGGGGAGTCTGGCCTGGTAACGTTTGTAGTTGGAATAAGCCACTTGGTAGGATAGTTGTTGAGTAAAGGAATTGTTGATGTTCTGAAAGGTTCTGTAATTATGACTTCTTTATTTTCATTCTGATAGATTATAGATACTTGGCGTCGGGTTCTATCTATGAGAATGATATCTAGGAGAACATTCTTGTTGTTTATGTTAGATAGTGTTACTGGTGGCCGGCTTTCCGTGTTTGAGGATGGGTCTGGATTCTGCTTGGCCATAATTATTAAAGTCACGTGTTATGTGGTTGATGTTACGTATTGTTGTTGTGGTGATTGTGTTTGTTGTGTGCGTGTTCAGTGCGTGGAGATTGTTGTTGTCGTGTTGATATATTTGATGTGTTGTGTTAACAATGTGTTTATTTCTGGCGCGTTTGTCTGGTTTGTTATTTGTATAGTAGACGCGTCTATGTTGTTGATGTGTTATAATTTGTTGGTCGTGTTTTGATGTATTTGACATGTTGAGTACACGTATTGTGATGTCGATCACTTGCTGAGGGTAAGCTGGATCTGGTTTTTCTTAGGTTAAAAAAATTATTTGCGCGACTTGAGTTGTTGCTAATATTGAGATTGTTGTTATTGTTGTTGTTGTTGAGTCCTTTTTCTTGGATTCCCTTGGAAAAGTCTGGTGTTCCCTTGTTTTTGTCTAGTGTTTAGGTTGTCTGATTTATCGGGTGAAATCTGGTTGACCAAGATCCTTCTGGTGTCTAGGGAGGTGCAGAATCTTGTACACGACTGGCTAGAAGCTAGGAGGGTTGATGCT